GCCATTCTTCTCCTGTTTAATTGGTATTTGCTTGTCTGTGCCACAGGATAGATCCTAGGGCGCGTGGGCGGCAGCGCGACGTCCACAGGAAGGGCGGGGACTCAACATGGCCGCCAGGGCCGGCTTTGGCCCCGCCCCTCCTGTTTTGCACTTCTAAATGTAGCTCCCATTATATTTTATACTGTCTGGGGTTAGCTAAGGATCTTGATCTTTTAAGCACCTTTTAGGCCATAATAGGGATGCTCTGTAGTGGTTCCTTTCAGAAAAAAAATTAGTAAAAAAATGACATAATTTGGCATATTTTAAAGCTTTCTTTGGATTTTGCAAAGACAGCATCACAACAAGGTGGCGGTAAAATATGGGTAAAAAATTTAAAAATTAAGAAAGGGGGATAAAAAATTAAAAAATAAAAGAAGAGGGATGACTTAACAGTCTAAAGCATTAATCTAGAGAAGAGAGGATGGGGACTCTGATGCATGGTGGCAGTAGATAACATAGTAAGAAACTACCAAATTTTGTATATATTTCAAAAAATTGCTAATATATCTATTAAAAGAGGAGATGTAGGGTGTAAGATAAAGGGGATTCCAATGTATTACCAAGATAAACAACTTGTATTCTTATTGTAAACATAAGTTCAGCAGATGTCCAAGGAATGTGGTATGGAGTCTAATGAAAAGCCAGCCTCTGACTTATTCAAAGTGCTTAGTAAGAGATTGGAATGGCTATGAGGGTGGAGAGGTAAGAAGGAGTCAAGGAAGGCTAACTGGCTTTTTTCAAAGAAATGGGTTTCTGACAGACAAAGATGTTTTACTTGGAATCTGCACCCCTGGAATGTTGCAAATTTCCCAACACTGGCAGAGTTTAGTCAGAAACTAAAAATCACCTATGACTCAGGACTCCTGCACTGCTTGTATCGTTGGAGCTCAGCCATGTCTTGAGTGAGTGGATGGATCACCGAATTGCCAAAGACTCCAAGTACTCTCAGGATTCTCATAAGCAGATAAACTGGAGGATGTTTTTATACTTTTATTTGAATTCACCAAAAGGCCAGTGGGTGACAATTCATCAAATTGCTGAAGAGAAAGTATAAGAACTTTATATGAAGGATCAGCAAAGCCAGTAGTTTGAATGAAGAGGGCACCAGAAGTGCCAGACCTGTGAGCCCTGAACCACTGCAGTCTCTGAGCATTGGTATATTTTTTCCATTGTGTTAGGGAAAAAAATAACATGATGATTCTGCTCTCCTCCCACTTCCTCCTGAACCCTGCGTGCAACAGCAGCATGCCACCATCCACTCTTCAGCTGTCCTTCACCCTTCTTTGGCATCCTTCCTCAGGAATAGTCCTAGGAAGCGATCACGAATCTGCTTAGTCTTGACACCATAAATGATGGGATTGACCATGGGGGGGAAAAGCAGGTAGAAATTGGCAAGAAGAATGTGGACATAGGGGGCAGCTTGACGGGCCACACGGTGCATGACTGAGGAGATGACCACGGGTATGTAAAAAGCTAAGATGGCCCCTATGTGAGACACACAGGTACCAAATGCCTTGTAGCGGGCTTCCTGAGAGGCCAACTGGAGAACTGCCTGAAGGATAAAAATATAAGACAAGATAACAAACAGCAGGTCCAATACCACAATAAACATGGCCACAGCAATGCCATAGATATTATTGAAGCGGGTGTCCCCACACGCCAGCCTCACCACAGCCATGTGTTCACAGTAGCAGTGGGCGATCACTGGGCCTCGGCAGTAGTGAAATCGTCGCAGCAGAAAGGGGAGTGGAGTCATCAGTGTCACAGCCCGGGTCACAGCGGCCAAGCCAATCTTGGTGATAAGGGGCTTGGTCAGGATTGCGGTGTAGTGCAGTGGTTTGCAGATGGCCACATAGCGGTCAAAGGCCATAGCTAGGAGCATTGCCGACTCCATGATGGCAAATGAGTGGAGAAAGAACATCTGCACCAGACAGCCATAGAAGCTGATGGCTTGGTCTCTGAACCAGAATATGGCAAGCATTTTGGGCAGCGTTGATGAGGAGAGGACTAAATCAATAGCTGCCAACATGGCCAGAAAGAGGTACATGGGTTCATGGAGGGCTACATCAGCCCGAATGATTAAAAGGAGGGTGCTGTTACCAAACAAGGCCAGTGTATAGGCTGAGCAGAAAGGGATAGAAATCCAAATGTGTAGGTCCTCCAGGCCTGGGATTCCCAGCAACAAGAAGACTGCTGGGTGGGCGGAAGTCATATTATAGGCTGACATGGCCCCTGGCAGTTTGCTTCTGGATCTGCAGTCACAGAGCCTTATAGTTGCAGTTCTCAAGTTCAGATACTTACTGGTATGTAGGCTTCATTGTCACTTTTGGACCTTAAAAAAAATTAGAAAATAGTCATTGTAATTATCATGAAGGATTGTGCATGAACCTTGACTTCAAGGTGTTTATAAAATCATAGTTTCCTCAGGGCATTATGGACCAGTAGAACCAGTATCAAAACTCAGCCTTGGTGAGTAATCAAATGGAGAAAGCTTTTCTGTATTGTATGTGGCCCAAAGCATGTCAACAAAGGAAGAAAACTCCTTAAGGATTAATTCTTAAATAGGAGTTTTCTTAAACCAAAGCATTCCTTGTCTTTTGCTGTCTCACTATTGTCTCCCAGTTCAAACTCCTCTCCTAATTACAAAAATAAAAATAAAAATAAATTCTTTCTTCAACAGTAAACGTGTTTGTATCAGAAATAAATAAGGTTGGCACCTTCAAAATCACTTCTCTACAAGTTCTATAGGTCTTTTTTCTAGAGGGACTTTCTTACCCTCCTGTTTGATACTCAGAAATCTCTCCAACGAAGCCACAACTCCAGCAGGTAAGGCCACTAGAAGCTCTTGTGTTCTCCCTCATCTAACTTTAGTCGAACTTCTTCTCTGCACACTCTCTCTTCATCTCATTCCCCTGATGGCTTTTATGACAATCAGAAGAGATGCATGAGGCCCACCTTCTGTAAGACTGACCTTGGACCTTGACACTACTGTTTTTCTATCTGGGATTCTCTCTTTTAATCTCTTTTCCCCCTTTATTATCATTTCCTTTGAAAACATTTAAGCATTTTTTCCAAAAATTTTGACCTGTACATTCATCTTGTCTTTCCCAGTTCCAGAACAAAAGTTTTCCTTTGAAGATTTTAAAATAATCTTACAAAACACTTGGTATAAAACTGAGAAAGAAGTCACCAAATGTAGGTATAACTTTTAATTAAAATTAAAGCTTACTGACAATCATGTGGCTAGAAAAATGTCAAAGAGAAATTTGAGTTTTGAGAATCTTTGTTTCCTTTCTCCAAATCTAATATCTTAAATCACTATACTTTTCTGTCTCTACCCTGTCCCACAGCAGTTCAACTCCAGGATATTCAAGATATGGGAATGTAATACATACTCAGTATTCTGGTACAGGGGGAAAATTTTAGAATCTAAGGATTTGAGCTTAAGTAACAATTACTATCAGGCCACCAATGGAAATGAACACTAATGACAGATATCTTTAAAGGTATATCTTCCTCTCTTATCCTACTTCCCATGACCATTTTCCTAAGTTTTGTTGGGAGGAAAGATGAAATCATACATTATCATGTACAATCCTTATACATTATAAAGTGGTTTTAAAATGCCTTTAGTCATTACAGTCTTCCCACAACAAATATGCCCTCCTTTTTTAAATGTCCTCCTTTTTAAAAAATTTGTGTTTTTGTTTGTTTGTTTTTTCTTTTGCAGTACCAGGGATTGAACTCAGGACCTCGCACTTACCAGGCAAGCGCTTATTCTACTGAGCTATCTCCCCGACCCTTAAATGCTTATTTTGAATAACATCAGTATTTCCTGCATTCCTTGGCTTTATGTCTCCCTCAACTATGTTCTCTTTCATAGCAAAACCTGCTCAAAACTTGGCCTCTGGCTTGGGTGATATATGCCTGCAAGCCCAGCTACTCAGGAGGCTCAGGTGGAATGGTGGCAAGCCCAGGGCCAGGCTGGCAATTTAGCAAGCCCCTGTGTCAAAATTTAAAAATAAGAGATTAAAGCATTGAAGATGTAGCTCAGCGGCACAGTATTTGCCTTGCATCCTGTGCAGGCCCTGGGCTCATTCTTCAGTACCTAAAAAATGGCTACATCAGTGTTAGGTAAGATTTAAGGTTCTGCACTGATTTCACAGTAAGGTAGTGTAGATGATGCTAACGCACTGTACACTTCAGAAAAGCCAAAAAGGATTTTTGAGCCTTTTTTCCTAAATGATAATGTTTGAGAATAGAGATGTGCTCACTCTGATTTGAGCATTATACAACATACACGTGCCCTAAAACATCATGTAGTACCTCATGAATATTCACAATTTTGGTTTTGTGTATCTGTGAAAATTTTTTTTAAAAAATCTGACTCTGTTTTTTTTTTGTCTTGTTCAGTCTTCAATCCCTTCTGATCTACATCCACCTCTGCTGCTCCCCTGACAGTAACGTCTTCTCATTGCTTCTTCCATCTCCCCCTCCCCTCCCTTCAGGTGCTTTTCTGTTATCCTCTTACTCTCACATTGTGCTCCACACTTTCCTTCATGTCCCAGTTTTTGCTGTCTGTGCACAGAAAACTCTCCAGTGTGTGCCTTCTACTTAGTTGTAAACTAGCATATCCTGCCTCCTATGTAGCATCTTATCTTATTTGAAATGTCTCATAGATACCTCAAACAAAATAGAGCTCCAAGTCTTATTTCTCTGGCCAAACACTTCTCCATACATTGCCCACTCAGTGCATATCACTGCTATCGAAGACCAGGGCATAATCCTTGATTCAGTTCTCCATCTTCCTGGTTATCCAATTCAGTAGCAAATGTGGCCAAGCTACAAGACGTATTTCAGTCACTGACCTTTCTTTTCCTCTGTCAGAACTTTATGGCCCTGTTTGATTTGAGCTAGGGTCCTACTGTGGAGCCTAGACTGGCCTTGACCTCAGTCGCCTAAGTGCTGAGATTTGTGCTCACATTTAAACTGTCATCTTTCATCTGGACAACAAAACACTCCTAACTAGTCTCTGTGGTACGCAAATATTAGGTCCTCTGGATTAACCATTCTCTGTATTACAGCTAAAAGTACCATTTTAAAGTGCATTATACCGCATTAGGTTTTGACTGAAACCTTCATGGATTATCATTGTACTTAGGGTAAAACCCACACCCTCGCCCATTCTTCAGCCTTATGTCCTTCCACATCTCCTCCCATTATATCCCAGCCACATAGCCTCCTGCCAGATACCAGAGCTCATGAAGCTCTCCTCTAGTCTGTGAGAATGGCCCTCAACCATGGCCCTGAAGTGTCTCTCACACTGCCTTCTCCTTTCTATCCCCTCTATGTCTTCCCTAATCCATATCTATGTCTTGTCTGTGTCACTATAAAGACCTCCACAGTTCTCTAACCACATTCAACAGGTCTATAAATGTGCCACACCATGCATTTTACTTCCCTGCTGAAAACTACCAAAAATGGAAAGGGACTGCATTATTACAAGAAAGAAAGATTAAAATGTTTTAAAATGTCTTGGCTAAATATGTTGACCTCACTCCTTCTATTTCTCCAAGTGTTCATTCTAATTTCAACCACGCTGGCTGATCTGCCATTTCCTGAAAGAGCCACACTTGTAGATCATATTATTTGTGTAGAATGCTTTCTGGCCCTTCTTGAATGTGCCCAAGATCCTGCCTCTTTCTTGGCTTTAGCTCTCTTAGGCTCATTTAGGCAAAGGTTTTCAATCATTTCAATGAGGAGTTGCTAATACACAAATCCAAAAACACAATAGGAGGACAGTGTTTCCTTTTGTGTGTCTGCACTCACTGGGCTGCGACTATATTAAGACTAGGAGCTCAAATGAACATGACTAGTCTTGCTTGACTTTTTAAATAAATGCATTAATTATTCCCTTCATTTGGAAACTTGACCCTCTTCTCCATTGTATAATATAGCACCATCTGGTTAAAACAGGTTTTCTTTCACAGATAGAGATCCTACAAAATCTTTTGTGCTTATTGCTAGATCACTATAAAAACCATCTTCTTGGTGGACACACCACATCCAAAGACAATGTATAGGGTCTGGGTAGGTAGCTCAGTAGAATAAATGCCTGCCTGGCAAGCATAAAGTCCTAAATTCAATCCCCAGTACAGAAAATAATAATAATAATAATAATAATAAATGTATATCTGTGCATTTTCTCCAGTACTTAGCTTTGGGGTAGGCAGCTCGGAAGCCCCATAATGACAGAGTGGTACTTCTTGCGTTTATTGCCACTGCATTTATGACACTGGAATGAGTGAAGTTTGGTCACAAGAGACAGAGAGCTACACTCTGCTCTGTCCTTCTGTGTCATAGTCCCTGGCCAAGCCTATTTCTTTCAAACGTCAAAGAAACTCTGCCTTTAAGTTTTCTGTCTAGATAGTTACTACTTTCAGTCTTATTCCTGCCAATATTCTGATTATTTCAATTTTCTCTGGTATCCCTCATGTACATGGGAAAGGAGCCATGACCCATGCCCCCAATCCAATGACCATAGATGACCATTCCAGCCTCCAGGAACCATATGATTCCAGCATGCTGCCCTGTACTGGCCTCCTTTGCATCCGCATTCACCACCTTGCTGTGTCTTCTGTATTCCTGGTCCTTCTCTGTTGCTGCAATCCCTGGAGCTCTCAACCTTCAATATAAGACTTGATTCATTTTCTGTAGGCCATAGGCAAAACCAGCGTAGTTCTGCTCTCTCTAGAAGAGACTAGAAATGATGGGATAAGAAAGGGCAGCTGTGGTTATATCTGCAGCCGGCTACCCTCTCCCAAAAGAAAAGCAGCAGGCCTGTCTCTGAGGAACATCCTAAGGAGGCCCCAGGATTGGCTTGTTCTCTCCTCTCAGGGTAACTCTAAGGACTTTCTTGAGCCCAATCAGTCTTGGGGATTTCTGTCTCTGGCTTTCTACAGACCCTACTCCCTCTGCATTCTGTGAGGGCTCAGATTTGCTCCCTAGAGGTAGCATCATGTCTCTCCACCCTTGTCTGACTTCCCTGTAGTACCTGAAGTGTCCTTAGAGATACACAAATAGCTGCCTGCCTGTGTGGTTGCTGATTGCGACCTGAAAGTGTTGCTGATTGGAATCTGTGAAAAGCCATAATGAAGTCAAGGTTATCCATGTCTTGTTTGATTGACAGTTTATATTTTTGTTTTGTTTTCTGTACTGAGCTGTAGA